GAAAATGTTAAGAAACATGACTGCAGTGTTAAAATATATTATGCTCTGCTGTGTTGAGGAAATGAGGGCAGTTGTTAAACCATTTACAAATTACAGTTTTCCACAAAAGCTCCATCACCCCCCATTAATTTTGGGGCCCCAATAATCAATCCAGAGGGGATTATTGAAAGGGAATTCTTCATAACTAGAAATGCTCTGCACCAAACCTGCCTAAATATGCCCTCAAAATCTCCAAACGCCAGACCCATGGACTCAGACCTCACCGATTGGATCTATGTTCTATGAAGTTCACTGAAGTCCTCAACGCCATCACATTGAATCTGCGAAGACTCGTGGCACTTCAGCTGATGATACTGACACCAAAATTTGCTTTTGAATATGTTCTTTATTTGTCTTATTTGTTATCATTTTTGGAACTCCTCACATTTAATTAATGTTGTCATTTGTCATGGTGTTAAATTTAGGGCAATACCACAACCAAAGTTTGTTGAAGCCAGCATGGAGTAATATCATTTGACCATGGAGACGCCCAATGACCCATCTTTCCCTCCCAGTTGGAATGTTCTCAGGCACCCAGGGCCATGGGACACACAAACCACAGCTGGGCTTCAAATGTGAATATCTGCAGTAGGGTTAAAGCACTGCTGCAGTAATCAGTGCTTTTACCAGGTGTACCCTCATGGAAAGAGCAGTGTTTGTGAGCAATATAATTTAGTGTGGAATTTAAACTAGTGTGATTAGATTCGGTGTTTACCTCAGAGACTCTGGAACAGTTTAGCATAGAGAACATGCTGCTTCGCCACTGCATCTGCTGTCGAGTATTAATTTAATCCACTGTACACTAGTTTCAGAGTCCTGAATTATATTACTCTTGACTTTTACAGATTCGTAGATCAAATTGGTATTTGATGAACACAATGTATATGATGATCCAACACCATGGGCCACAAAGTGGCCAATTTGCATACATTTCCACCATGGCAAATTTATTCCACAGAACGTTGATGAACAGCACTTCAGCTTCACTTGGCTGATTCGCTTTGCGCAAGTGACAAAACTGAAGTGCCTGTCCCCATGTGCGACTTGTGTGCTGTTAATTACTCTAAGATAATATATGTGTTTGTTGAGGGGGCAGTAAAGAGGTAAAGAACAGAGGAGGTAGGGGGTCAGCCCCATTAACCTCCAGTTCACCCAGCCTTCACAAAACACAAAGGAGCAGCCTTACCAATCACAAAGGCTTGTGCTTTTCTTGTTCTAACACAACCGAACTGACTCATGAAGGGCTTGAAATGTAGCTGGTGAGGTTTGTTATAGCAGGGAAACTCCAAACTGCTCATGGATGTGGATCCCCTGACCTGAAACTGGAATCACTGGATCATTCAGTTGTAGTGGCTTAAAATGACTGCTTGGCTAAAAGCAGATTTCCCCTTTTCCTAAGTGTAGTTAGTCAAGACATGTTTAGTGTCTGAAGTTTGCTTCTGTAGTTTTGCACTGGAGCTACGGGGCTAGTGTAGCTAACAAGTAGTGGAAGCTTATAGGTCTGCAAGTTAGCATTATGCAAAATATCTGCCACTTGCCTCAAACCACGTTGACATACTGTCTATAAAACGGACACAAGCACCTCGCTCAGCTAAAAACAGCAGTACTAGAAAGCCTGAGTTTTGTCTATACTTCTGTTCATTTTTGCAGATAACAGTATGTCATGCAGTGTCAGAATCCACAAAGCAAGTTTATTTGAGATTACTTAAAACCTCGACATGGTTAGAGGAAAATGTGTGGTGGTTTAGGCACACAGTTAAGCAACCTTAAGCCTCCATTACTTGTTAGCTATGTTACCCTCGTAGATCCAGTGTAAAACTAAAGAAACAAACTTCAGACGTTAAACTTGTCTTGGTTACTCAGCCAAAGTATCACTTTAAAGAGAAATTCCACTGATTTTTTCAAACATTTCTGCATAATTCAATCATTGAGATCGTCTGTTCTCATTCAGAGTGGTTTGAGTTGAAATGGTGCATTGTAGAGAAATTAATTGACTCTGATTTCTTTACAGTGGTGGTGATAAGAATCATGGGTTGTGATGTCTACAAGACAAATATAGCCATCTTATTTATTATCCAGTGAAACTAGTGAACCTACACTCATTTTATGAGTTTTCACATTATACTAGAAGTTTCTTTAAAATGGAGAGTTTCACATCTAAATGACTTCTGAATGACTTTGTTTACATGTAAACGATATGATTTTGCAGGAAAATCCATGGAATTCCCTTTAAGTTACATTCCCAACCACAGAGACACATTTGGGTTTTTAGTGTCCAGAGCAGCACTGTAAAAATCACTTGCACATATTTAGTGCTTTTTACATTTATACATTTGTCTCTTTAATAAAAAGCATGTATTTACTTGACATTGTGATTCACTGCTGTCTCTAATGAATGTATACTGTAGGTGGCAATCAGCAGAGCTTCTGTTAAAGCTATTAATAGGACAGCTGGTTGCTTTTGGTTGCCTAAGTGCATGTGCACGTGTCTATATGTAAGTAAATACCCTCTGGCCTGTGTAGTGGTAGTGTATTGTGTGTTATTATTAGTGAGCATGTGCATGAGTGTAGGAGTGGCAAGAGTGGGCTGGGTTGACGGTAGGCAGATGGCCATCTCCCCAGGGAAATCAGGGGGGTAAATCTCTCCATTTAAATCCTTCGACCTGCGCCAAGGCCAGAGAGAGCAACAGCACCAAGGCCCCAGCAGGGGTGACGAAGAGAGAGACACATAGAGAGAGAGCAAGAGAGAGAGAGAGAAACGGAATGAGGAGGAGGAAAGGGTGATACTTCAGCCTCAGTGGCCTATAATCCAAATTCACTCTCTGCTGGAGATTATTAAGACCTGTCACAATGAGCATAGAGCCAGCACAATTTAGAGGCACAACGTATGATGATGAAATGCACCGTGATCAGACAAGCCACCTGTGATTTGTGTTATTTTTATAATCCGCTGACTTGGAGGAGGGTGAAATGCCCCTGCCCTAGGAACTGAGGTGATGCAGCTTTGTTCTGTGTCAATCTTTGTCTCCTCTCTCCTTTTGGTCATGTCTTATTATCAAACCAGAATTTAGAGCAGATTATGATGGTGTACATGTCAACATCTGCAGCACTTGTTCTTCCATTCAGCTAATTTACTAACTTTATGCACTCTTAAAAAGGATCGTTCTTCAAAGGTTTTATATATATGTATATATATAATTATTATTTACAACCATGCAATGAACCCTTTAATCATGCAAAGGGTTCTTTAGTGTTTATGGTTCTTTATAGAATCATTTTCTTACTAAAGAACCCTTGGAGAGCCATATTTTTTGTTAAGAGTGGTGATGTAACACTCTTTACATCTTCCAAAGTATAAAATAGCCCTTGTCTGTCATTTCTCTGTGGTATGTTGTGAAATTAGTTTAAAACAACATTTTATAGGTAATCTTGTTTGATTCAGATTTTTTTCCCGGCCAAATCGGCTGATAACTCTTCTTTTTTACTAATATTTATTTTTTTACTTTTTGCCCAAATCTTGCACTCACTGAGCTACATGAACACAGTTGCCCATTTTCAGTCATTTTTGTCGGCCAAAGTTCCAATGTAAGTACATAATTTCCACTCGAATGGGCCAAACAGGCATTTTAAATTCATAAACAGAAAATCAGTGAATGATTGTTGCTGAAGTGAGTGCTACATCAAAAATAAGGAGCACCTGGCTATTTAGCGTAATGCACAGTAATGCTACAACATTTTATATAGGTACAGCAGTAGCATCAAAATACAACTCCGCACATAAAAATTGGCCAAAATCAAGGTAATAAATTGAACGATCATGCATCCCTAATAGTGACTATATATAACCATATGAGCATGTAAAATACACAGACTAAAGCCTGCATGTTTACTCTGAAATATTTGAGTCAGTGCTACATCTCCCTGCGTCTGAAGTACCCCCTGCCCTGCATGTATTTGTGTTTTCCTGCTCTAAAGCACCTACTTCAACTCAGGAAGGGCTAATTAACTCAGTTGGATCAGGAGGTGAGTTGGGAGCAGTGAAAACAGTAAAATGTACAGGGCCAGGGTTGGGAACCACTGCTCCAATGCATTGAAATCTGCTTGACACCACATAAGAGAAGGAGGACATTTACTGGTGGACACTGCTGCACAGATGCCCTGTTGACCCACTTCCCCTTCTTCCAAATAAGAAGGCATTCATTGAAACGCCTGATATTACATCTCAGGTCTGAAGCCAAATATCAGCATCTCTTCAGTACAAAGCATCATCTTTACCTGTTGCCAGTTGGAATGACCACAAATGTCTGCTTAGAGATGTGTCAATGTTTTAACCATTTTGTTTGCAGTAGAATCCCCTGTAAAGCTGCAGCATCTAGAAATGTTTTTTCCTCTGGCTGTTGTATGACTCTGAATCTGTGAATATACAGGTGTTACATGACTTTTAGACATTCACTGCTACAGTGGTTCATGTGGGTTCAAAATCCAAAGATTGCTTCAGCTTTCATGCAGTTAGAGTGGATCATAAATCATAAATTATATTACGAGTGACACCAGAGTTTCCAGTCAGTGGGCTGTTATTATGTGGAAATAACGTTTGCTGCAGTTGTGCTACTAACCCTATTATTTCGTAGGATAAATAGTAAATATTAGCTGTATCAGTGGTCGGTGTCGAAGCTGATGTTTTCCCCCCACCCTGTATTCCGCCGTCTGCTCCAGGATTGACAGGCGGCGGGATACTGCCAAGCCAATCATAGCGCAGGAAGCGGGGCACGACTAGCCAATCTTGGCCAGAGAAGGCGGGACTTGTCCGGAATACGGGCGGGAAAGAAATAACGCCTTCCCAAGTTGTTGTCAAGGAAACAGAGCTGAGGACGGTTGGTGGGGGGCGGGGTCATATCGAATGTTAAAGTGGGACTGCTGCTGTCTGCCTTAACGCGGCGGCCACGGTGGGGTGGGGGGCCGTGAGGGACGCTCATTTTATCTCCTTTTTAACCCCTTTTTTCGACTGACATCATGGGTCAGCGCAACGAAACGCACCACAAACTGTTTTTTGGTTGAAAATGAGCTCAGCGGGGTTAGAATTTGACGTTTTATGGCACGAGAAAACCGTTGACCTCGTGAAGATGCTCTCCGTCTGTATGAGGGCGAATCCCCTCAGACTGGGTTAAGTTAACCAGTCGTTTTTTAGCTCGACTCCGCTTTATTTTGAGCCTTAGTTGTGCTGTTTTTTTCTCCTTATTTCGTCGTTTGAGCGTTTTGGGGGAGTGGAGTCTCCCACTGTGTATTTTAATGACTGGTTTCGTGTTTTGCTGCGCGATGTACATGGATAAAACCAGTGTGCTCCGGGGTAAGACCATTTAGCTTCTTTGCTGTGTCGTTGCTGTGCTTGTTTGTGATTTAATAGCGCGATCATTTGGAGTGAAAATGCACGCTGATGGATTGAAAGGGTGTCCTGTCATGTAGCCATGAATCCGTCTGCAGCATGTAGTAGGTCATGTTATTCATACATGAGCTAGTTCAGTGTGTCAGTGGGAAATGGCGTGGCTCCGTCCTCCTGGAGAGAAGGCTGCAGGTTGCATCCGATGAATCTGCATTTCCCCTCTATCTGCAGACACCCATAGCCGTGTCCCAGCGGTTAAATACATGCTGGTTAATGAACGAGGCTGGGTCGGTTGATGCAGCGCTGCCAGTGCTCTGATTTACATTGTTAAATTGAATGGATGTCTCTGCATGCTTGGATTTGATCAGCAGCCTTTGGGAAGTCATGCTGCTGCTTCACCTACATTTTTGCACACTGCTGCAACGTTACTGCACTCGGGGAGTCAGTGCAGTCAGTGATGCAGACAGGCTGGCATGTGTGCTGGTGTGTTTCTACAGGGGGGGGGACTACAGCCATTCCCAGCCGTGGTGTCTGCATGCATTTATAGGTGTTTCTATGGTGCATCTGTTACCATCACTAAATGCATGTATGATCATGGTGTCTGTATGCATATAAATGTTGGCTGCGCTTGATGCTTGTTTTGTTAGGCTAATTGCCAGCTGTAGTGTCTGCATGGTTATTCTACGATGCAGGGGCTGTACACTGCCATGACAGCGTGCATGTATGTACTCACTGGCCACCTGATTAAGTACAACTAACCATGTATTTATTTTCATTGTCCATTTAATCAGGTCCGCTTACCATATAGGTGCACTGTGTAGTTGTACTATTACAGATTGTGTTTCATTTGTTTCTCTGAAGAATTTGTTAGCCCCCCCTCCGTTCATGAGTAGGACCCCCACAGGTACACCATTGAGCAGCTACTATTTGAGTGCTGGATCATTCTCAGCACTGCAGTGACACTGACATGGTTGCGTTAGTGGATCAGACCCAACAATGTTACAGGAGTGTGAAAAAACTCGGGGTAACTACTGAACTGAGCACAGTCCACCAACCAAAAATGTCCAGCCAGTAGCATCCTGTGGCCAGAAACTGACGAAGGACTAGCAGCAGTTCAAGCTTGGACCTGGATTTTTCGGTAAAGCTGCTTTGTGATGACGCCTGTTGTAAAAAGTGCTATATAAATAAACCTTGACTTGATTTGAATTTATTAACAGTCTCCAGCTTTACAACTCCACAAGGTAGGGGCCTCTAATACGGTGGACAGTAAGTGTACACAGTGCTTAAAAGACACACCAGAAGCACTGCTGTGTCCAGCAATAAATTTTAGTTGTGCCTGAAGTTGTGGCTCGAACTTGAATACGGCCTGAGAATTTTCTGTCCGAACCCAGCCGGAGCTGGGTCTGAACCCAATCCAAGCTCAACCAAATTCTGTCTGAACCGGACTTGAGCCATACCAGCATCATGTTTTGAGTCTAAAGTTGACCCAAGTACAACTAAATTCTGTGTGAAGTGGTCCATCACTACCCAACATGCCAAACAAAACCTGACAGGACAGCATCTGTAGTGATAGTAATAGCCTTCATTAGAGCACAGACCAATACATTTAAAACAGTCTTAAATACTTTGATGTAATAAAACAATCATCGGTAAAAAAGTAAATTTAAATTCTGCTGTAAGAAATTTATTTGTCAAATAATTCTTTCGAACAGTATCTCAGACATTTTATAGTCTGGATAAACGTTCCATACTGCACTGTTCTCACGCTGTGCTGATATTAGCCTTCACCTGTTTAATGCTAAAACTCTGTTTCTGCTCATTGAACATATTGAACAAATATAGTTCAAAAAATGGTTTTGGTCAAACCAAACTGTACTTTTACTGATTATGTCCTGGTTTCTCATGAGCCAGATTAAAAATTATTGTGGTGACGGTAGTGAAGAATAAAGTAAGCAGAAAAAAAATAAAGCAGGGGATATGCAAGGTGGAATTTGTTAAAAGTGGGAGGCAAGATGTCAGAACCCGAACTCACTCAAGCTGACACATTTGGAAAATTAACATGAGCAGTCGGGTCCCATTGGTTTCAGACGAATATTTCAAGCTTCCGTCCAGCTCAACATGGACTAACTTGCCTCTACCTTGTTAGTGTCACTGCAGGGCTGAGCATGATCAACCACTTAAATAATACCTGCTCTGTTGTGGTCCTGTGGGGACCCTGACTATCATTGAGCTGGGAAATGCACTACAATCTGTAATTGTAGAACTACACTAAGTCCAACTATATGGTAAGACCTGATAAAATGGACAATAAGTGTAGACACAAGGTAGGTGTACCTGATAAAGTGGCCAGTGAGTCTATGTATTTGTGTGTCAGTATTGGTATCAGTATCATGTTCAGCAATGCTAACACATGATTCACTGTCTTCCCGGCACTAAAAACCTGCTGTGGTTTCAGAATCGATAAACGCTGTGAAGTGAAAGGATAAAAACGTAGTACCCATGCTCCCTCTGTCATGCCTTGATGTGGTGGGTGTGTCTGAGAGCAACACACATTCTCTGTGTCTTGTTTATTCATGTAAGCTACTCTGAGCCCATTTCTCTTTCAGTATTTCTATGGGTGTCACTGCTCATTTTGACCTACTGTGGCTGCCCTACCTTTAACAACAGCCTTCTCTCCAAAGCACAGTCTATTGTATACACCCTCCCCCAGGTCACGGTTACATTAATCTCATCTGGATTGGTTAGCGTGTCATATCCATTACAGTGGATGACAGATGCGGGACGAGCCGGGTAACTCCGGGACTGCAGTACTGACCCCTTTAGAGCAGACAGTGGAGGCCCAGATGTCATAGGCAGTTTATCTGCTGTCTGTGATATATCACTGTTTAGTGCGTCTGACTGCCTTAAATGAAAACTCTAGCATTTTTCAACCCTCTCCTGCAGTGTATGGAGGAAGCAACTGCCTCTTGGCTTCTATTCTAAGTGTGCTTCGAGTCAACTGGTTTTCAGTACTGAGACACTTATAAATACACTTAAAAATATAGATTTTCTGTTTGTGCAAAGTAAGAAGTAAAAACATTCAAATGGCTTGAGCGTCTCCTACAGCTGTCAAGGTCTTTGCTTAGCAACGGCGTCTCAGCGGAGTGATACAGTGTTTGTGAAAAACGAATGCTTCTCAACCAATCAGCTTGCGTGGCCGGAACTAACTGTTGTATAAATTTCCATATCATGGAAAACTGTCTTGTCCGTGCTTTGTTGACTTGAGTTTAATATAGTTCTTAAACATTGTCAAAGTTTCAAAACATAACATTCACTTTTCAGTCCATTTTGTCTGTATATGGAAGTGAAGTTGCAAAAATTGTCTCTTTTGAATTGATTTTTGTGGTGTCAAAGTATATTACCTATGTCTGCTTATGCAGCTTATAGCAGTTTATATCACCCCATCCATTCGCATTGAAGGTAAAAGCAGTGTTTCAGCTGGGACTCCTTATTTTTTAAGCATGGTAACAAAAACAGTCTGTTTAAGAGATAAAAGTGGTTGGAAAATGGTCTTGTTAAAGCAAATTATGTCTGCTTTTGGTAAATAAAACCAGACAAATGTCATAAATAGGGAAAAAATACCAAGGAAAATGTAGGATATGGGCTCCTAAATATGTCTTGTTCCTAGTTGATATGTTACTGTGTGGGGGTTGTTGCAGTACCTTTCTCAGGTACTGCATGCTTCTCATGTTTTCTATTATTCGAATTGAAGAATCGCCCAAATCTTATATTCAAAAAGCATCTGTGCTGCTGTCAGCAAGAAAAAAAGAGAAACAGTTTAAAACTAGTTCATCAGTTGACAGCATGCCATTATTTTGGTGCCGTATCATCTTTGGTGGCATGTCAAGATGAGAGCGGGTGTTCTGCGAGAGAAGGCTCGAGCGTCGGCCGTGTGTTGACTGTCCTGTCAGTGCAGTCTGTAATGACGTGGGGATAAAAATAGTCCACAGCCTGGAGTTTTCAACACGTCCTTCAGCTCGCTGTAGACGAGATATTATCAAACGCCAGCTAACCTTATGTCTGTGCTCAAGTGATTTTCCATAGCATTGTGGCTGCACAAAAGCTTCCCATTAGCCATTTAACAGTCGTAAACGGCTCTAAACAAGGTCCGAGATGCGTCAAAACAAGTTTTGAGGTGCATCAAAACGAATGTTGCAAAGTTGCTGATGTGAGTTTTTCTGGCCCCAGCAACAGTAAACATGGCTGCATCTCATTGACTGTGGCTTCCTTTTCACCATAGAAAGGGATATAAACAGGAGGCTGAGATCTTTTGGGTCAGTCTCTCAAATGGGCTGCACAGGATTCATGAAATATTCATGCAGAGTCAGATAAGATGGATGCGTCGGTCAGCAGAAGGATGGCATTTTGAATGGATTATTGATTTAGAAGCAACTGGCAGGGCAGAAGGATCTTGACTGGTCAGTTTTGTAGAATTGGAAAAAGCCTGAATCCATAGATAGTGAGATAGTGTCAGACAGAGTCTTGTACTTCAAACCACAAGCTCAGGAAATACACAAAACAAAGTGGGGTTTTTTCAGCCTTGTGTTTGTGTTTCGGATTTTCCTTTTCTTTTCAGAAGAACATTGTCTGTATTTGTGCATTAATGCAGGTCTCAAAGCCTGGAAGTCTAGCATCCTCATCTGCACCGGATTGGTTTTCAGTGTTGAGGTAATGTGAAGTGTAGCAGTTGAGCAGTTGACTTAGAACTGGGCCTGAAGCCCGGGATTACGAGTTCATATTCTGGGCATGCACGCCTGTTATTCCACCAGCATGGAAAGGCAAAACTGGCCACGCAAGCCAGCGAGCCTTTCACTGCAGAAATACAGAATACATCATTGTGAAATGCAGCATCTTTTTTAAGCGTTCTATCTGTAGGTAACAGATGACCAGAAAGAATGGCCATGTCCAGTGGGAGGAGGGTTCTGCCG